TCTCTTAGTGTTTGTCAGTACAGTAGAGGTGTTGTAGTAGTAGTCTGTATTTGTCTTCTGATGACTTATTTGTCAGTACTGTAACCCACAAAAACTACAATTCCCAGAGTTTTATCACAGCCAGAGACACATAATCATCTGAGCACACAACGTGTTGTGAAATTGTCCTTGTTATATTGTTGTAGACAAGTGCTGCCAACTTTCACTGCACACGGTGGCATACTGTACATGATACAAGGACAGCTTGACATTACATTGGAGTTTATGCTGTAGTTCTACAAAAGAATGCTGTGTTAGAAATGTGTGCAGTTATTATTATACTAGTAATCCATATGCCTGCCTGTATGATTTATAGGCTGTCAGGCTGTTTTCTTTCCCTGTGCGTTGCTGTTAAGGGGGTCAGAATTGAGCACAGAAGGCTTGTGTGTTGTAGCTGTATTTGTAGGTTTGATAGCTTGAAGAAAATGTATTTATAATTTATTCATAATTTATTTAATGTATACACAGTGATACACAACTTAACTTGTGAATCTGCAGAATGACTGTCTTTGGTGTGTGAATGTATGTATGTATGTGTGTATTTATTTATTTATTTTTAATAGCTTTTCAAGAACATTACATCCTGGTTCCATAATGGCTCCAGTTTGACTTGCAAATCGGATGCAAATCAGAATAGATAGTATTACATGACATTACAAAGCCATATGCTTTGTTTAAATAGTATTACATTTCTTATGTGAATCTAAGTAAGCGAGCATGCCCATGCATGCATGTACTGTGCAGAAGAGCAGCAGCTGAGCATGAGTAATAACCCTTTTGTGGATACGACACTTTAATTGTTGCCTAGATCCTGTTTGACATATTGAGGCATTCATGGAGGGAAAAGAGAGAGCACACGGATCGTTCAGTCATGCTGGCATTATCAATAGGAGTTGTGCACATAGGAAAAACAGGGCAAATGAATGGCAGAAAACCTCTTTACCCTTTTATAAAATCAACATTATGGAGTGATGCTTAAAGCTACTGTGACCTTTAATTTGACCATGTTCTGTGCATGGCTCATTTTCCTGGTTTGATGGTGGCTGTTCCAAAGAACCACACAGAAACAAACGCCAGCAAATCTGCATAAAAGTGTCACTTTAGCATACAGTATATCTCTGTTCACTAACCTTCTACAGTAAATTGGTATAGTAAACTTCACCCCATAACACCCCAAATGACCTTCACCAGACACAAGACAAGGATATTTACTATGCTTATGATAAATGACCATCAGGGCTGCAGATAGCTTGATGGTGTCAGCTCAACAAGAAGATCAGCGATGTATCAAAAAGGTCTCCGAGAATTAAGTCAGACATTTTAAACTAAACTTTACAAGATTATTATTTTAGACGGATAAAAACAATCCAATGACCATATCTAATAAATATGTTATTGGCTGTTTCTGTTGTAATCCACTGTACCAGACCTGCTGTGAGCCATTGAAAGTCGAGACAAATAAATAGAAAGAAAAATCAAGCGGAAAGCCACTAAGGGAAACAGAAAGGTAAGGTGTTGACTGTTATTGCAGTGTTGCTCTTCTGTCCTGTGCTATGGTGGTCCACAGCTCCTGTAAAGTTAGTTTACTATTAAAGTGGCTCAATACCCATTTCTGAAAAAGGGCCAACTTTTTCTGCTTCTTTCCCCTTCTTGTTTTCCAAGAATGTTCAATCACTGACGCACTTTCCTCTGACGCAGTGGTGAGTCAGCAACGATATATACTTTATAGTAACTGGAAAGTGCTGTAAATCATTCGTACATAAATTCCTGATGCAAACAGGCAAAGTGTAAATGAAGGATTTTATGGATTTTCCTTTTTTTGTGTTTTAATGAGTGTTTACATGACATTTGCCTTGATCCATTTACTACTTTATTTTCAGCAGAGAAGTGTGTTCTATAAGACTAAGTCTGTGATTTCCATCCTTTTCCAAATTTACAGGTTAGGAAGCAAATTAGTATGCTATTTTTTAAATACCTTTAATATTGACTATTGTAGCTGTTTAAACTGCGTTTCTCAGAACAGCTACAAAAAGGGTCATTGATGATTTTGAAAAGTCATTCTAATATTTTTAATTACACTTCATCTACATAATTTGATTTGAATTAAAGCTAATTCAATAGCTCTGAATTTTCCCAAGGAGAGCTTTGTCCTCTTTGTCTTCTATGATTTCTCCAAGGGGTGAACAGCGTAACACAAGTCAGAGTAATTATCAGAACAAAGCATGGATGACCGTTAGCACACACTGCACTTCAGCAACAGTCTAATTGTCAGAGGTTGTGATTTTCTGATAGATTCCTGTTGCCGCACTATCAGTCTGTGCCATGGGGTGTTGCGCCCAAATAAAATGCCAGCCATGCAGAATGTTAATGTGGTATCACCAGGGCAGGCCAAGTCATGTCAGGCTAGACAAGCTCTGCTGCTGAGTTGGCTGGGAAACAGGAAGAGAGAACATCAGGCCCAACGGGGTGTTTAAATCATCAGTAACTGAGAAATGTCAGGTTTTCTTTTGAGCTTTTTTTTTTAATCTCGGATTTTGATACATTAAAACTAAAAGCCGGAACCTTTAGTAAGTTAAATAAACCATCCAAAATATCCACACCACAAGACCAGAGAGCTGTACTAATACACTGTACTGTACGTACTATATTGTGGTTGAAACACAAGGTTTTCTCTCCTACAAACAGATTTAGATTCATCCATCGATAACAGTTGCCTTATTGTCATATTCAGGCCACTATAGTTGTGTAAGTTAATGATGAATAATAAAATTCCATCTGTAGAATTAGATCTCTGAAATGACATATGAGACAGTTTATTAGATGATCAAATTAACCACAACAACAATTTCACCGCACCATCACAGTTCTCTCAGGGGACTATCAGGTCGCATCCATCATAATCCAGGGGGGAGGAGGGGGTGGAGGAGTGAGGGAATGGGGGGGGGTTGAACAATGTCACCTCTCAGGAGCAAGGTCGGATTTCCCAGGTGTTTCCAGGTAGTCATTACGGACCATGGGAACCAGGGTCGGTTCTCTGTCATCAATGAGCAGAGCTGCCTGTCACAGAGACCCTGGCAACCTTTCTGCTACTGGGATTGATTTGTTGTCCTCCTTCATTTGTCCTCAGTCATTTCCTTGTTCCTTGTTGTAAAGACACACCATTAGCAGCCTGTTATTATTTGGATGGTGCCCATATTACTCTTCTTACATAATGAAGTTTTTTTCGTACACTTCTGAAATGTACTTTAAATGCCATATCCAAATATGAGAGAGTATTGAATCAACAACTGATCAGTCATGCCATAAAACCATGCCCATAAATTAGATGATGCATCTTTATAACATCATGATTTCCCACAATTAGTCTGATCCACGTCTGAATTGTGAGGCGTGGGAAAGCTCTTAAAACGAGCTTCGGATAGTGGACTTTATTTATGATTTGAAAACATTAAGTCCATATTAAACATTTGAAAAACTTTTGTATTTAGTCAACAAAACAAAGTGAGAATGAGGCCAGATATAAACAGGTCAGGCAGGCTGTCTCACTTGTGTGTCGCATCAGCAGGTCCAGGTGATAATAATCTGATCCTTGGCACACACACACAACAATGGTGCATTCAAGGTGACTGTTTAACTGAGTCTTTACCGCGACACTACGGTGTAGATAATGCACACACATATAGGTGATTTGACATAATTAGGCAGCAGTTAACAAATATGGATTAATCTATTGTTTTTTCTCGTTTAAAAAAAAAAAAAGTGACCACCAGTCCAAAGATATTCAATTTGCACATTTAGAACATACAAAGCAAATCCTCACATTTGAGGAGCTGGGACCAGTAATTGTTAGATATTTCTACTTTGATTCATCAATTATCAAAATGCTGATCAATTAATAGGATAACTGACAAAAGATTTTTGAGCTAAACACTATATTGATATAATGAAAATACGCCATTTCTGTTTATGCAAATGTATGCACATATTTTGCCAAATGTTTTTGGCCTTCATAGATACATGCTAAACATTTGACCTCTGTAATGACGACACTATTACAGTTGACCTACTGTATAACATTGTCTAAAGATGAGGTTTTCTGAGCAAGCCTGAATACTCCTTTTATCTAACATTGTTATCAAGATATGTGTGTTATCTTTTCATACCTGTTCACTTCATGTGTTCACAGCTGGTAAAATCCTGCTCTTTAACCAAGAGATGTTATTCTGTTAACATTGTATGTGTACATGGTAACTAAAGGGTTGTCACCAGCACGGCTGCTGCTCAGGTTCTCTTGAGTGCACTGAGTCGTCTTTAAATAATGAGCACTTTTCTGTGCTTCACCAAAAAGCTCGAAAGGTTCTTGTCTGGGTCAAATGTGTAGATGGATTTAAAGTGCACTGAAGAAGATAGAAATGTCTGTCATTACGCACATACCTTCTCGAGCACGGCCTCGGTGTGTGTTTCTGTCTGTCCATTTCTGAAGATGTAGCCAGTTTAATATTTGCCAGGGTACAAGAGTGCATGACAGACGAGGACAGTAATTAGTCAGCTTACGTGTGAAGTTATTAAAAGTAATTCCTTGATAATGAGCAAAGTGTATGAGGGAATACTCTCTGCAAAGGTCAGCAGCCAGGTTGGCACCATGTGACCAAAGTAGATAAGTTTGTAGAAAGTTTACTTGTAATGAACTCTGCTGGTCTCTGAAAAGATGAAGTTGTGCTTGTCAGTGCAATAAGTTTACACTGTACGTGTGTGGGAGGGTTTTGAATAAAAAATAATAGTATGTACAGTACCGGTCAAAGGTTTGGACACACTTTCCCATTCAGGAAACTTTTAACTCAAAGGATATACTTTGAGTATTATCATTATCTAATGAGCTTAAGTCTTGTTTCTCTCTCAATTAAATATAGTGGAGACACATAAATAATCGATTGTGTTTGTATATATCTGTGTGTTTGCAGTGGGAGCTGCTGTGGTCCCTCATCCTCCTTTTTACCTTCTGTCTGCTGCTGGTCTGGTTCTACTTCTGGTGGGAGGCTCATAATGACTACAACGAATTCAACTGGTGAGTACACATCCAAACTGACTGTGCGTGTTGTCATGTCAAAACTTTGGGCTAGATGCCTGTCACCATATTGTTTTGGCTGTAAATAGATTCTATCCGTGCTTGTCGGCTTGTTGATTTCCTAAATCATCTGCTTAATCTGTGTCTGAGTAGAGACTGCCCAGCCCTCCACAGATTACACCATTATATAACAGAGCGATAGCTTGCCAAACATTTCCTGTACTGTACATCACTCAGCCCCTGTGCCACATTGGTGTAAAAACTAATTTGTGTGACTGAAAACATTATACTGTAAGGTACCACAAGTAAGATTAATCTGTTTTCAAAATGCCACATACGATTTTCCATAAAGCAATATGTGTTTTTGTAAGTGCTATAGTACAAAATGGTTACTGCTGTGTCCCATAATGTCACATACAACACACTGGTCTTTCTTGTGAACTGTCTCTCCCCTCCCCCTCTCCTCCTGCTCTCAAGGACCTCTACAATGTCACCTTTTCCTTTTATTATCATCCATTGCCTTCCATTACCTCCTGTCACATCCCTTTCCCACTGTAGTTTTTTCTGTTATATCCCACTTCTCATTTCCCCTACATTTCACCTTTTTTAAATTGCCTTTTGCCTCACATCTTTTGCTGTGTGTATATTCTCCATTCCTTTTTTTTTTTTCTTTTCCCCAAACAGCCACCCCAGTCCAGTTTTATCAGCAATCTCACTATTGTGTTTTCTTTTTTATCTCTGGATGTCAGTTTTGGTGGGCAGACATTTGCCATTCCTTTTTAATAGGAAGTGGACAAATTTCCTGTTTTTTATGTGGGTCCCACAGATAATCAGAGAGATGATCCTGCCCTTGTGTGTTCTAGTGATTTAGCAGCAGGGAGTGTCCCAGTCCATCTGCAGTATAAATGTATTCACAAAGGGCTAGGAGCATCAGCGCTAAGTGACCCTGCTGTGGCTCTGTGCCACTGGAATCACTGATAAGGCTTTGAATGTAATTAGTGCTATAGGCCCTTGCTGCCATGTCAAACACCCCACACACACACACACACACACACACACACACACACACACACACACACACACACACAGACACGCACACTTATACACTTTGCTCTGCAGTTGTCAACCTTTTCATAACAAAACAAGTAACAAGTGCTGAATACTCTTATTGTTACTTTTACCGTCTGTCTCCCACAATGCAGCTCCTCCACAAGACAGAAACCAGCTGTCAATAATTTGCCACCCATCCATTTATAATAACAATCACATAATCTCTTTGGTCTGAGTTCTCCCTATAACCCAACAATAGTGTCTGCTGTCACCTGGGCTGCTGTGTTTGTTGTGTCCGTTTTAGTTTTATTGCAAGAATAAAGCATTAAGCTCAAGGATACTTGATGAGTGTCTGCCTGTAAGTCAAAGGCCTTTGTAGCACCAGTTGGCTTTTATTTTGTACAATATATGTCCTAGTTTTTTAACTGTACCCGTCTTGCAGATCCATTGCAAACTGATAATGCTGTAAAGTTGTGAAAGGAAGTTTGCAAATAAGACTTTTGCAGGCTGTTACTGTTACTGTAATGAAATGTCATCCATTATAAAAAATTAAGTAAAACTTGTAAGGCATTTACAGTTTTGTTTGAAAGGAATTCAAAATGACAGATTATTATTTTAAAAGGTAATACAAAAACCTACACACATAAATTCAGTTCTGCCGAGCCGTCATATCAGTGATGATAAAATGCAGGTGAGCTCTCAAATGTTGAAAAACACCAACACCACTCCCTCTCTTGTTCCGGCAGGTTCCTCTACAACCGCTCTGGGGTGTGGAGCGATGGCACTGTTCCCATCCTGGCCACCACCGCTGCTGGCTTCACCTATATTGCATTTTTAATGGTCAGTCCCACGTCAAATATTCACTAAGGACGTGCTAAACATGTTGTGCTCTTGTTCAGGCAGCTTTTTATTTGTGTATATGTCAAGAAAAAAGTAGTCACATGTTGAAGCTGAGCAAGTTAAGATCTGTGAGGCAGCAGACTTGTTTTTGAAAGTTGGACTCTTATTTGCATGTCTCTTGTTTGTTTGTTTTTTTCCTCTTTTTTTTCAGGTTTTGGCGCTTTGCCACATTGCGCTTGGGCAACAATTAAATTTACACTGGCTCCATAAGGTAAGGTGCCAAATGTGAGACCAAGTGAGTGACTGTGTTTGTGTGAGTGTGTGTGGGTGGTGAAAACTTGGAAGGTAGAAAGAGGTGGGTGAGGTTTTTTATATCTATCTTTTTTTTTTTCTCCTGGTGTGTGTATGTGTGTTGGCAGTTGTGTATTTACACTTACCTGTTTGCTTAGTGCTTGCGTCTGTGTCCATTCATAGCCAATCAGCTGAACTTGTCCTGAACTCACAGTTGGGATCATGTTGTCCCAGGAGGCTTGTGAAAGCCCAGTAAATGACCTGCTTGAGAATACGATCAGCAAACCAAACACACGGACCAAACACTGCTTGAGGTGTGAAAGGGCTGGGAGCTATTCAGGGTTACTCTGTGGTGTGTGTGTTTATGTGTGCGTGCGTGTATGTATGTATCCAAAGTGACAGCCTCTCTGATTTTCTGCATCTTTCTCTCTCTGTCCACACAGATAGGAGTGACTGCTGCTCTGCTCACCACCATCATTGGGGTGATATCTGTCAATCAAACATGGGGACAAGAGTGGGATGTCATCCCTATCTCCCTGCAGGTCAGCAGACTTGAACACAGGAAAGCTTCAAAGCTGTTTTTGATGGCTTGACATCATTTATTTTTTAAGATTAATATTTAAAATTTAAAATAATTTGATAGTCAAGAGACAGACAGAAAACAAAGGGAAGGAGAGACAGGGGTCTGACATGCAGCAAAAGCCCCAGGCAGGAAGCAAACCATGGATGTTGTGGTTATGTGGCATGTTCTGTTCAGCTACCAAGGGGGCTCTGACATCACTCTTAATGACAAGTTTTAGTACAAAACTGAGTCTTGTGACACATGGAATGGAAGCAGACTGTTATTTCTACATAACAACATACACTTGGTTTGTGAGCACTGGATAAAATAAATGAGCTGCGACCACTTTTGCATCCAGGACCGACTGTTTAAAAACTCTGAGTACCTCTTTTCATTTCCATATAGAACAAAGTGTAATACACCTCATACACTGTAGTGACACCACACTCAGTCTGCATTTATCCTGGTAAAAATTAGCAGCTAAACAATATGCAAGGAGTTGTGAGAAGTGCATAATTAGTGTGTCCCTGTGAGATTATTGCACCACCAGGAATGTGTGATTTGAAGTCTGCTAAAGTGCAATTAAAATTGAATGCCTCTGCAAATGATAGCTATTATCCCTGAATAGTGCTACCAGTGTCTTAACCCTAGATAATGTCTGTAATTCCATGCCTGTCTGTCGTCTTTATCTTTGTTTCTCTTTGTCATCTCTCTTTAACCCTGATTCTCCCTCCCTTCTCTCTCTCTCTTTCCCCTTTGTCTTCTATATCTTCTTTCTTTTTTTCATCTCTTGCCTTCATCCTCTCCACCGTGTCACATCACTGCCCAGGCTACAGGTCCGTTCCTTCATATCGGGGCTCTTGCTGCGGTCACAGCACTGTCGTGGATTGTGGCTGGACAGGTCGCCCGTGCAGAAAAAACAAGTACGTTTAAGTTTGTAACACAGAATACGAGTTACTGTTACCTGATGTAACAGTCTGTCTCACACACACACACAGAGTTACAGGAAGAGTGGTGAATGATTAACACTATGTAGACAGAGGCCAGGACCTCCACCCAGGGTGTCGGAGATAACGAACATTCCTACGGGCTCATGTGATGTTTTCCAGCCAGGACACCTTGGATTGTTTTCTCCTCAAGTATGGGTCTCTTTCTTGAGATTAGCAGCACTGTGTGTGTGTTTTAACTCTCACCACTAATGGTGTCTGTAGAAAAGAACAGGTGTGAATAGTTGGTGTCATTTATATGCCATTTACTGTCCACTGGAGAAATTATAGCCATATATCAGTAGTATTTATTGTAAATGTCATGTCAGTCCTGTACATTGTTAACCCTCCAATGAGTTATATAACTGTCTTTTGGACATGACAGTTTCTACCTTCTACTGGGAGAGACAGTAGGGGGGGGGGGGGCTGTGAATCTCATGTGCATAACAAGAGTTGTCTACTCAGGTGACCTTGAAACAAATACATTCCCCCATGAGTGTGTGTGTTTGTGTCCACATTTACAGCCTTCATCGCTCACTTAAACTGAGGTGTATGCAGGGGAAACATCACCCACATTCACAGCAGCTACTTCCGTCACACTTCTCTTTGAAAACTGAACGAGAGTCCTAGATGTCACATAAATGTTCTCTTGGTTACAAATCAAAATGTTTTCCCATGACGGTCAGTGCTGTGGCTTTAATTAGCTTATTTATGTCCATGCTGAAGATGTTTACTAAGGGAGCTTGGCATAGAAATAAACTTGACCAAGGCAATTATTTGCCAAAAGCACATCCCATCCCAAATTGTATGCAATTTCAAATTTGGATGTGTATTATTTGTAACATTTAAAGGAATGGTTTGACAATTTGGGAAATGCGCTTATTTGCTTTCTTGTTGAGAGTAACAAAATCTGGTACATAACTCCCTGAAAACAAACGAGTTATGACATGTTAATTAGTGAGCATCAAAGGTGCCACTAGGCAGATTTTGGACAGCGAGTCCCCCCCCCCCCCCCAAATCTATAATCATATCTTCATATCAGACACAACAAAAGAAATCATCTGTTTTGTCCCAGTGTTCCAGGTGGTGGTCGTGCTGCTGTATCTCAGTGTGTTACTGGGACTCTATGTGATGCCCCTCTACATCACCTCCCCCTGCATCATGGAGCCCACTAGCCTCAAACCACGTCCTGATGTTATTGGTCACCAGGGAGCCCCCATGGTAAGTCAGCTGACCTCTATCATTGAATCAGAATGTGGGGAAATAAAACGGGCGACTTTTGCTTTTACATTGCCGTACATTTTGAGCTACCTGATATTTGCTTCACAGACAATTTAACCATAAACCAGAGTGTCAAAGACCACTCGATTCTTTTTTGGAGAAGGGAGAGGAAAATTTGTCCACCTTGTTTTTCATTCATTTCTCTTCTCCTGCTCTTCCCAGGGCTATTCTAGTCTATTAATGACCTTGTGGTCCCGCAACTGAAAATAGTCCACAAACATTGCGCAGTCAGAGCCTGGAGCTCTCGCTGCCTCATGTATGGCAGGGATATATTCTCTGCCTGGCAAACACAAAGACATGCACAGACAACTGTTACATTTGCAGCTTGATGTGAAAGAGAATTGTTTCTGGTCCCTTCACCTTTTCAGCTACAGCATCTCGCTCACAGATCAGATTTTAGACTCCACTACAGTGTGTACAAGAGCCTCTGGGTTAAGTATGCGTCAGAAGGTCACATTAATATGGCTCATGCATATCAAAGCACATTTTCATTTTTTTATGTTTGATTTATGTGCTTGGATTAATTTTATCGCTTCCAAACGTTACCTGCAGAAGGATTTACGGACTTGGCACAATAAACTGCTGAGTGTTGTGCAATCCTTCGAAGGAAAAGGAATTTCTTGTTTTTCATTACAGTTACTCACATGCTCAAAAACACACCCTGCATTTTTGTGGTATTTGCGTAAAGCGATCGATCCTCACAGAGGAATCTAAAATTAGGAGTGGCTCGGTGGGGCTGTAAGAAACTCCCACTGGAAAAAAAAAAAAAAAAAAAAAAAAAAAAAAAAAAAATCACATGACTTGGCTCAGTTTCCCAGTCAGACGCTGTATTGATTATAGCATCATTCCTATCCTGTGGTTCCCAGCTTTACTCGCAGCGTCTCACAGGAAGATTGAATAAGTGATGCATAACCTATTGGTGTGGTATTGATCATAACCTTGACTTAAAGAGTTAAATAATGGAAGAGAGCACTGCCCATTTTACAACATTCCTTTGTGTTCAGAGAAATGAGTCACGTCTGTGATAAATCGCATTAATGAGGATATTTTTTTACTTGATGTAAAATAACCTCGTCTGTCATGTTTTTTCTCAGTAGTAGGACCTACGGTAAAGTCACCTATTAAGCCATTGTTACAGGATTACATTCAAGGGTGTGTGTGTTTCCAGCTTGCTCCAGAGAACACGCTGTGGTCCTTCCAGCGAGCTCTACAGATGAACGTCACAGGGTTGGAAGCTGATGTTGCTATCAGGTACACACACACACACACACACACACACACACACGCACGCACGCGCGCAATCAATACAAAGGAATGACATAGCCAAACAAATGAAGAGTTATTTAATCTTTTCAACACTTGTTTCCCCAAAACATCTGAATACCAGTACCAGGGCGAGCTCACACTGGATGACAAATAACCAACCAAGGGAAAAAGATAAACTAGCAATTATATATTATTTATATGTTATATATTATTTATATTTTATATTTTATTACTACTAAATGGGTAACTCAACACACAATCGGGATATTAACAGCAACAGCCACAGGACACTAGCACTGAACAGGCTCGAGTGATGCAACAGCAGATCAGTGTATCAGCAGTCAGTAGATGGAGGCATGACATCACCAACACAATGGGAGATGACAGGCTGAGCCCAGCAAGACTCACTTGGAGGAGGAAAGAGGAGTTGGGGAGGATGGATGCTGTAGCGGCCATGGTGATGATTAATAGTGGGTGTACATGTTTACTCATGCATGTGTCCAGTGATAGAGGATGAGTTATTGTGTTAAGTGGGGAGTGTTTCTGAGTTGGTGCAGGTTGTGTGTTTGTGTTTGTGTGTTTCCGGTTATCATCACTACAGTCTTGTATCTTAACCAACTGCAGATTCTTATTGTATTAGCAACCACCTTGGCGCCGTGTATGTGTCTGTGTGTTTGTGTATGTGTGTGCTGACAGTGTTCCCTGTACTGTCCTAAGAGAGGTGAATGCGTGTGTGATTAGTGCAGGCCGCTGACAGGTAAGCTCCTGACTGTGCTGAGTAATTAGACTTGATGACAGCCAGAGCGACAGTGAGACTCCAGTCCGGCAACAAACCAGACACACACACACACACACACACACACACACACACACACACACACACACACACACACATACACACAATATACCAACATATTTTCCTGCTCCTGTTTCCTTTGCATCCATTTAGTATTTCTTTTTCTCCTAATTAATATATTTTAGGAATTAACAGTTCACAAACACTGATGTTCACACAGGGAAAGATTTTTGTCTTGGCTAAAGATTTGAATAGCAAATATTGAGAAATGGGGTAGTTTTTAGTGTTGTCATGGTTACATCAGGATAACAACCTGATGTGAACTAAAAAAAAAATTGAGCTCATTTGCTATTCAAATACTGAGCAGCAGCATTTTCGCATAAAAACCTCACAACTGGGCCAAACTCTTGTCTCCTCTGCTCTCTCCTCTGCTCCCGTTTTCAAGCAGAACCTACAGATAAAGTGACCTTTTGTGATACTTTCGAGTCCTTTTTCATTGTAAACAGACACTAATTTTGAATTTTTATAAAATGAGAGTGACAATAGTGGGTGATTCTGTGTTAGTGGGGTTTCAGGAGTTCATACAGATGAAGGCTGCTGCCCAACTATGAACATTAATCCTCATTAATTTGAAGTAGAAATTATTAATGTACCTATAATTAAAGTATTCTTGTCTGTCAGGGATAATCCATGAAGCGGTGAGTGGTGAAGTCGCTACATCAGAGACATAAAATAAAAACCCTCTGGCCAATCAGAATGAAGGATTCTATGTGACCAACGATGGAAATAAGAACGCCATTCTATTATTCATCTTTTCTCTCTATACCATCTCTCTTCTTTCTTTCCAACTTGCATCTTTAAAACTCTGATCCCCTCTCTGATCACCAGCGTGGATGGAGTGCCTTTCCTGATGCACGACAGCACTCTGCGGAGGACCACAGACGTAGAGAAGGTTTTCCCAGACAGACAGATGGATGAAGCCTCATTCTTCAACTGGACAGATCTGCAACAGCTCAACGCAGGACAGTGGTTCCTTAAGGTAGCTCTTGGTTGCTAATGAGGACTAAATATAGGGATTATTTTGAAGCCATTTCATCTCTTCTCACAGCGTGACGTGCAGTGATGTGTGATAAAGGTCATTAGCCCACTGAGTCATGAGTGCTCTCACTCATTGATCCTTCATGACGTCCTCTGGTTTCATCTTAATACTGAGATCCATTAATGTTTGAGAGAGTGGATCAGGGTCAACCAGTGCTTCAGAATATTTTTTTCTGTTTCAACCTGTTTGGTGTGCCAGACCAGTGGGCCAAACAGGCTCAAAATACATCAGCAAACAAGGCATGAAAATTGTGTATAAATACTGCCTGTCCTGGTACCCAATTATTTTTCTCTGCATGGGTCCATATAACAGTGCAACGTCTACAAGAAATGGAAAACTGACCTACACTATTGTTGTATTCCTACTTAGTCATCACCTGCAACTGCCTCTATCTTTTGATTCTGTTGCTAAGGAAGAGATTTTAGATACATTCTCTGCAAGATGCAGCACTGAGCTTCTTTGCTGTGCTCCACTTTAATCCTTCAACAGTTTACTTGAGTCATGTATTTGTACTCTATCATCTGTCTACTTGCTTAAAAACTACTCTGGCAAATATCTCTCTGTAAAATGAAATTCTATCCACGTCTTCGATTCTCATTTTGCATTTCAAAATGTGTTTGTTAAATATTTTCTTCAGAAGCTCAGACTTTCTGAGATCAGATTTCTGTACAAAGACACTTGGCTGTTCTGCTTCTGCTGTGTCAGTGTTTGAAGGAGCATTACTTTCTCCACTCTCTCCTTCAGTCTATTTACACTGCATGTGTGCACGTTGCGCCTGGGTATTGTATTGTAAGAAAAGCCTTATTATTTCTGTGTATAGTTAGGACAATTCACTGTCTATGCCCAAACATGTCACCTTATATGTTCTGATTGTATGATAAAACTGTCATTAAAATGATAATTTTTTTAGTCAGAAAAGTGAAGTGAAGCACATCATGGAAGAGCTAAATAAGCATCATCTGATCATCCTCTCCTCTGTGTTTTGACAAGCAGTGAGGGAGCACTGAAGCGGGAAAGCAAAGGAAATTAGGAAAAACATTCCACTATTTTTATTTCATGTAGGCGTTGTCCAAGCCTTCTACATAACACCGGGATGGATGCTTTTATTCAAGGCACCTATTAGGATTATGAATGTATAGACATTTTTTTACAGCTTTCCAAAAACACAGTTGAATTTCTAGCAGTGGGAGTGTCATTGCATTGTGGTAATTGTATTTTAAACAGTAAATCCAGTGATATTACTGGTGTTAAACACATTTCTGATGTCCCCCTGTTTCAGGATGACCCCTTTTGGACGGTGCACACCCTGTCCCAGCATGAGAAGACTCTGATTGCCAACCAGAGTGTGTGCAGCCTGGAGCAGCTTTTGAAGCTGGCCTCCTATCATAACAGCACAGTGGTTTTCAGGCTTAGGAGACCTCCCCCAGACCATCCCTGCTACTACAGCTGGATCAATGATACACTGCAAGCTGTGCAGCAATCTGGGGTTCCTCCGAGCCTGGTAGGTGTATAAGAACTGAACACTGCATGATGTCGGGCTGTTTATTCTAAACATATTTCATGCAAATAGGATGGGTTTAAATGCCAATTAATATAAACAATGTCTAGATAAATTGATTTTGCTATTACAGTCCAAGGGCAATGATTGTTCCCCATTCCTATTCATGTGCATTCAGACCCTGTCACTTCATTAATATTGATGACACAAAGTTTCATAGAGACAAGTGTAACAGCATGTTCTGTGTTTTGTGCTGTGTGTAGGTGATGTGGACCCCAGATGAGCAAAGGGCCCAGGTGAGACAGCTGGCACCTGGTCTGATCCAGACCTCAGTGGAGAAACTGAGTCCTCAAAGTCTCCATCAGTCGGGCATCAGCAGGCTGCTGCTCAGATACAACCAGGCCAGTACACAGGACATCAGGTAGGAACATACACACATATGCAAATGTGCATGTTATCAGGTTGACACCTTAACACTTGGATTATATTTTAAAAGAAAATGTGTTTGAATGTGTGTAATTGGTTTCAGTGATTTCTCTGAGAGCCACATCAACCTCACCCTCTACACTGTCAACGAGCCCTGGCTGTACTCGGTGCTCTGGTGCAGCGGGGTGTCATCAGTCTCCTCAGAGGCCCCGCATATCCTCAGAAAGGTGCCTTACCCCATCTGGCTCATGGTACGGATCCGTCAAATACTGTATAGTTTTTTCTCTTTTCTTCTCTTTGCCTGGAACGTCTCACTTCTCACTTTTTCTTTCTTCGATATGCCCCTTCAGCCCGTCTCCTCTCCTATAGCTGCACCTCCTCTGCATGACTAAATTGGATTTTACCAGGTGATATCAATAAGGGCCCTTCGCTTTCAACTGAGCTCATCTAGTGTGTTTATTTCCTGTATTGAAAGTGTTATCCTATTACTTTCCAACACTCATCTGAAGCCCCAGCACAGTAGAAGAACGAGCACCATCACTGCAGCATATCCTATAGAGAATAACTTGTGGTTTTCTTGTTTAGTCGTCTCCCAAAACCTCTCAACATGGGTAGCACCCACACTGTTCCTCTCCGGTATCGTTTCACCTCCCTTGTCTGTGCAGCGGCCCAGCCTGGTCCCCCCCGTCTGTGCCACCATATGGGAACTCTGCATGATAACATATAGATGTGACCCTGTCCCCCCCTGCTGTGGTTCAGGCACACTCTAGGCTGTTGGGCATCTGCAGCTCTGTATGCACTGTGTCTGTTAATTTGAAATCGAAGTCAAATGAATCTTCCATTGGACATTAATAAGGCCAGTGAAAGGGAGTATTTATCATGGGGCCATCAGTTATTTAGGTCAGGTTTTTCTTCTAGTTAGTACTTTGCCTGGAGAAGAGTGCATGTTTAAAATCATTTAAATGCTGTTAAATACATTTTATCTATAGTGGATTTATTCATAAAGATCTCAAATTGTGACTTTATTTTCAGGAGTATTATATATAAAACCCTAAGACGGTTAAGATGTTGCTGCACATATAAGAGTCTGTATTGTTGACATACACTGCCATCTAGTGGTAGATACTGCCAAGAACCTCTTATGGGCAAAATTCAGACTCACCATAATTGTGTGTCTGTGTGTGTTTCCAGAGACCACATGGATACTGCCTGATGTGGGTGTCTGCAGACCTCATCTCCTTTGCTGTAGTCATAGGAATATTCATTTTCCAGAAGTAAGTACAGTCACACGGTGATGTAACTGTAGTCAAATCACTAAAGTGAGCGCTTATGCAAGAGTTGGTTTTTCTCCATTTTTCTGCTGGTGAATGAGGAGGAAAAATGTTTTTTTTTTGTGTGTGTGTGTTTGTCTCCTGTCGTGCTCACTGTGCCTGCAGTGTTTGGGTGTGTTTTCATCTCTTTTTTTTTTTTTTTTTTTTAATGACTCAGCTGTAATGACCTTGAAATGAAAGGCTTACAAGTACACACAATTAGTTATTTAAGAACATTATTATTATGTGGTTGTATAAGCTGTTATGATGTATTTCTGATGTCCTCTACCGTCTACCTCTGTGGTGTCACAAACCAGTGGCGACACAGAAGATGAGCATGTCCTCTCCTAGCTAAAGAGTATAAATCATTCACATCCTCCAGTCTTTCTGTTCCTCTGCTGGAGAGTGTGGTATTGTTTTTCAGACAGAGGGTCTGTCCTCGTGTTGTTTCTGGGATGGGGGACAGTGATATATATATATATATATATTTTTTGTTTTTTGTTTATTTGTTTGTTTGTTTCCACGATCCAGTGCAGGTTTGCTCTGCTCACTCGAGCTCTACAGTAGCTTCTGCTGGCTTCTGAACTGACCTCTCTTGTCTCCTGCCTTCTTTTGTCCTTTTTTGTCCTTCCGCCTCTCCTTCCTCGTCCTCTCTCCTCTGCCTGACGTGCATGCTCTTCTCCTCTGCTGCATTCTGGCATCTTCTCTCAGCTATCACATGATCAGGTAACTGGGTCACCTATCTGACCCAAAGTCTTCTCTCTTTTCACGCTCTTTCTGTCTTTATCCATTGTTGTTTTGTTTGAGGCATTCTTTGCCTTGTCTGTCTTTTTCTCCATTCTTTCCCTATATTTTTTTTTGCTCTCTTTTTCGATCTTCATCCAATTTTTCGCTCCACCTTATTTCTACTGTCTTTCTATATATTTTTTTTACCCTCTCTCACTTCTCTGTGTCTCACCTGAATCGTTGTAAAGCACTGCTGCCTCTTTCCTCTGGAGAGAAGAGCTCACGTCTTTATCCCTGTGGGCTCAACTAAAATGAACGCTTTCCACCCACACAGCACAAAATATCCACAGCATTAAGTCCTCAGTGAGATTTTAAATTTATTATCTGTCTCATTAAGCCAAATGACTAAGCGTCCAAAATGAACTACGGATATGCCTTCATCAGGGGAAAGTGCCTCAGGATTGGCTTTTATTGATGCTGATGAACTCGAGCCTCGCTTCTGCATTTCTGTTCCTGAATGCCTGAATGTGCATTAGTCATTGCTTTATTGTGACTAATGCTCTTCTCTTAAGTTAATCGAAATCAAGGCTGTTCATTACAACAAGGACATCATTTTCACATACAGGAAATTAATTCCTCTGCCTTGACTGATATGCTAATCTGAGGGAGCTAACTGAACATTGTCATAACATTTCGCTGAATATAGCGAAATGTCCTCATCATTATTCAGATGGTATTTTCAATATACAGCACAAGCCAGAACAAGACTTAATATTTAAAAAAACTTAGTTCTATTAGAACAGTATTTTTGTACACTAATAATATATGTGACATGTTTTGGTACCACTTTCTAGTAAGGCCTCATTTATAAATGCTATACAAGTTGTAATTGCTTTATTAATGGTTAATGAATCGTTTAATGCTTAATTCTAATGCTGAATAGATCAATTAAAAGCCATTGATCAGAGCAACTGAAGGGTTGCGAAAAATAACTTTCACTGATTGGACTGGAAAAGGCTGCCAAAGGGGATTTGCACCAAAATCCATTTAACAAATTATTAAGCGTTAATTGATGGATTACCAACATTGAGCAAACTCAATTTGACTTGTGTGTTTTTGGTAATAAAGTAGTTATTACTTTATTACAAAAAACACACAAGTCAAATTGAGTTTGCGCAACCTGGCAACTCAAAATTTGTTGTTTAATAATGGCTTATGAATAATTTATGAAGCTTTAGTAAACGCTTCATTAGCCAGTAATAAAGCCATTCGGTACAGCTTATAAACCCTTGATAAATGCAGCCATACCAGAAAGTGGCATCCATATTTCAGTGTTCATATCAAAATTCTGTACAATATATACTATATTCATAAAATACGAATCTGCTGTGTTCTTTTGTGTGCGCGTAAACTGAATTGTCAGATCAAATATTCTGTAACTTAAATTTAGGAATCAGTTTTCTCAGAGAAGTACTTTAATAAACACACAGCCAGTTATGTGCATTAACCCCCTAGTTCCTTTTAAAAATTAAAACGTTATTCTTGTATGTACCAGAACCTGACCCTAAACTGCATGATGTGAGCAGAGGCAGCAGTATTTAGTGATATCCTTGTTGTCCCGAGGTGATTTTTGACCTAACACATGACCCCGCAGGTATCGGATGAGCGGTATGCACAGCTACAACCCTGAGCAGATCATGCTGAGCGCTGCAGTCAGGAGGTCTAGTCGAGACATCAGCGTCATGAAGGAGAAACTTATCTTTTCTGGTAAGACCGTCACACAGAGATGAAAGGGATATGTATATGTTTGCCAGCCTTTGGTGTTTTGCAGTTTTGTTGTTGTTGTTGTTGTTGTTTATTTGGGCTCCTGAACTCAAAAAGAAATTCCTCTCTTTGTACTGTATCTTTTTTGATTTACTGGTTTTACAAAATCAATCTCAAACTTTTTAACTTGAAGATGAGGAATGAGCCTTCTTGAGTTTCAGGTGCCCTACTAGCATGTCCATCCCAGCATGCATCTGTCTGAGTATTTGTGAATGTTCTTGCTCCTCCTCCTCCTCCTCCTCCTCCTCCTCCTCTCTTGAATTGAAGGTCAGTCCCAGTAGCCGCCTGCCTCCTCCATCCTTCGTGTGTGATGCGCACCACCTCCTGTCCATCCTACCTCCTCTCCATCTCCTCCACCAGCAGTGACTTCTTCCTTTTCATTCCATGCATCCATTGCATCCCTCGTTACCTGCCACCTCTCTGCACTCCTTTGCCCTTCTCCCCTTCATCCATTTATCCATCGCTTCATGCACCAAATCTCCCCCACATTCCTCCCAATGGAGACAACGTTGTGTGTAGGGGAGCTTATAGACGCCCCAGTCTGTCTAGACAGCCACTAGTGCTGGGGGTGAAAGGTAAGCCACGTCAGTGCCAGCTGATTGTTGTTCTTCATCATTTTTTCATTTTTAAATTAAATTTTGCACTTTATTACTCTTTTTCTTTTGTTAACTCTTGACCATGCATCTAATGAGGTTTATGAGCTGTATTATAATTTAATGACTTTTTTTGCTTTTCTTTTGGCGCCCTCCAGAGGTGGGGAATGGAGTTGGCAGTGCCGAGGAGCTGTATGCAGATAATGGCTACGACTACTACACCAATCAGGGCATCAGCCAGTGACTGGAACTAAGCCTGTGTGAATCTGCTGCAGTGAGACGGAGACTACAACACTCTGTTCAAATCATTCCTGTTTTAGTCGGTGTAAAGTCTGTTCTCCTCCTCTGTCCTACTGATAAACTGACAGACTGCTGTATCTGATGGAGAAAACAACCACCCAGCTGCTGTGTGTACATTGTGTAAATAAGGTTTTTGCTTGTCAGACATACTGTATATCACACGGGGCTACACGCACTTTTTATTGATGGAATTCGCCAAATCTGTGGCTTCCTCTCTCACATTTAAATGTCCAAGAGCCCCCCCCCCCCGAGTTACCAAGTTACAGAGTTTCCAGATTCTTTAAGCTAATTTTCCAAAGCAGTTTATTATTTTAAGCAGTGTAAGTGTAAATGATACTCTTCTCTTAGCGAATGAATTTCTTTTTAACAAGGCTTTTTACAATCCTTTATTGCAGCATGAGCCTTCTGTCAGCACTCCATTGTGCTGTTGTTCATAATAGTACTAACATTATATTTGTATTTAAAGAGGAAAAAACAAAAAACACAAACAAGCTGTTTACAGAGGTCCTGCCTTCTCCTCCAGGTGAAATGTTCACATGGTGTATGTAAGATAATTATTTTGATAGAGGCTGAATGAACCCCCTGCCCGACTTTTGATCAGTGCATGTTACAGGAATGATCATATCAAATGACTTGTGTGAGCTGTGCTCCCAGTGTGTAACCAGAAGACGAACTGGTGAAAATGGTTTGGGGTGGAGATTAGTGCTGTCTTTTTATGGTTAATGTGAATGTGTTATGGTTTGTTTCTTTTTTTTTTTTTTAAGATGTGTAAGGTGTATTGTGTGTATCCTGACTGGAAGTGTATTTTTTTACCCTGTGTGCAGTGCTATGTTGAATGTGTTATTGTAAATAAGAGATGAACCAGTGTGAGAGATGCTCCAGCCAACTAAGAATTACATTTGAACAATGTGACAGTTAATTAATTACAATAGCAATAGTCTGGCCATGATGGAAGTCATTTCACTTCCTTCACAGCCTCTGGACTGCAGTTAGGTCTGTGGTATTGTATTGCTGACAAACAAAATGCATCTCAATGTAAGTTTCTGGTGTAAAGCTGAATGTTATAAGATAAATGAAGTGGGTGCTAAATGTGAAAATAAAGCTCCAAGCTAATTGAAGGGACGCTACTAGAGGTATCACAGGAGGCAGCACAGGGTCAAGAAACTGATTGCGTTTTGTGTTGACTTTCTTTCTTTGGGTATTACTGTGCCTCAGAAGTAAAACATTAAAAACTCTTCTAATACAGGAGTTTCCTACTGGCTGTTTATTTTTTGTCATTTTTTCCCCCTCACATTTGTTTAAGAATTTGTCTCTCTTTTTTACTATGTGCCTCAGCAGTTTTTTTCTGACTCCAGCAGAGCTGCAGAAGTCATGTGAGTGATCATATTTGCCTACATTGAACTTAAAGTAGGTCACAGTGTGCCACTAAAACTCTTAAAAGGGTCAGCTCTTTTTAAAGATTATATTACTGTCATTTGGCAAATAACTCTGTCCCCTACATACACACACACACTTACTCATCAGGAGTAATCTGGGGTCCAGTCAGTGTTTTGCTCAAAGACACTACGCCATACGGATGTAACCAGGCTAGTTTAGCCCCAGATTACTATTATGGTGCTGTCCCTTTAAATGGGGTTGGTAGGTTGTAGCGCTCTGCTTAGTGCGCAAAAGTCCTCAGACTGGCACTCTTACTCTAAAAAACACCTACTTTCGTTCTTCCCTCGATGCGATGCAGTTCTGCTAGAGATAAGGAGCTACATGCTGGATCAAGCCCTAGTTAGAGCTTGATGACCATGGGCCCTATCTTACACCCGTATTTACTTACACCGTGTATTTGCTAGTTTCAGACCGACGCAGCTGTCATTTTTCCATCCAGCGCCCACGTTGTTAAAATAGCGAATACACTTGCACCTATCAGTGCGCCCATGGGCGTGTTGGTCTTAAAATGTGGTGTGGTCAGGCGCATTGCTGGCGCATCGCTATCTTGAGACAGTGGAAAGTGATTCCGCGATTGACCAGCAGAAATCTGATCTTAATTCAGTGGCGCAGTATTTCACTGTTATTTTAAGGGCGCACTGTCAAGAGAGTGATATATACCAACATACAGAGCGCACAAAGCGCATACACTCTTCCAGTTACGCACTTTGTTTTGGATCGCTAAAATAGTCCCCAATAAATTGTAAATCTGTGCTTGATGCTGAGCACAACAAGTGTTGATGAAGGAGCTGAGACTTTGCCTATTGATGCTTAGATCTGCGAACGTCTGATGTCCCGGTGAGTTAGCTTTAGTAACTCATTGTCAGCCACGTTAGCACGCAAACTGCATTAGGAAATTATCGCAGACATAAAAACTCTGTACTTCTATCAAAACATGTCGGGATAATTATGAGAGGGATAAAACTTTGTCATGGATGTGTGATAAATGTTTTGTGTGTTTTATGACTCCTGTTCAGACATCAGGCAGGTAAATGTGTTTTATGCTTAATTACCACCTGGAGTGCAGGCATTGTGCCACACGTGGGGTGGAGATAGCGTTAAAGCTATAGCTTTAAGCAGCATGAAAGGTTATACTATAGTAACCTTTCATGCTGCTAAACTTTATGTAAGCTACGTATGACGTCTGCTAAAATGTTTGCATACAGTAAATAGGTCTATTAGAGAAACACTGTTTAATTTCCTTCATGTTTATGCTGAGTTCGTGTACTTTGAGGTATACTGCGGAATGTATTGTGTTACATTTGTTTGAGTTAATGAAAAAAAGCCAAAACAAACATTTTACACCAGTGACTTTATTTAAGCAGATCTCAATGGAATTTATGATCATTTATTAGGACTTGTGAATAATTTTCCTGCATTTTGTGTAGGCTGGTTTTGAAGAGATCTTCTGTTGGAAGTAGAATCACCATCTCGTCTGTTGTAACCATCCACATATCCACCTCAACTGTCCTCTCGCCGCCCTCCCAGTAAGTCTCCATCTCCACTCAACCATCAGTCATCAGGTCGCACAGTCTTGTGGAACATTCATTTAAGACGAGGGTGGGAGGACATTTTGAGTGCACTCATTCATTTTCTATTTATTTTCCTTATTTGTTGAACTTTCAAGGGTTTCTGAGATCTGTTTTTTTGGGTTACAACTTACCTGTTTTTATCTGGTTTGGGTCAACAAGGTTAAAAGAGGCATGTAATGTGTACAAAGGTTTTGATATATACACTTAGTGTGATTGCAGATCCTTGTTGGTGGGTTATCTGGTTGCTGGTAGTACATTTAATTTCCTTTAGATATATATTTATTGAACTAAGAAAGTGTATTTTTGTGACTTTAAAGTGAACAATGGAATATAATACACTTACCTGAACCAGAGCCAGTCAGATGTCGTGTGTATTCATTGGGGTGGATGTTTCATCTTTACTTTATAGTTTAGACAAGTAACTTAGAGCCTCATCGAATCTAGATTATAGTTTGAAGCCCTGTTCTACTTGGATGTGTGTGTGTGTGTGAGTGAGAGAAGTACTCTGTATGCTGCTCAGGAATATATACCTGTGTGTGTGTATATATATATATATATATATATATATATGCAACAAAATTGACCTAGTTAGACTTTCTCAAAATAAAAAGACGGTGGAGAAGTTGAGAAATGCAATTTTAATAGGTCATAGCAATTTAACTTCTTATTTCATATGTGGCTCAACTCTGACAATGAGTAAAACTTGGAATATAAAAATAGATCCTAGTCCCATTTCTTTTGTTTTATTTTTTTGGTCTCCCTATTTCCATAGGGACTGAAACTATTTGTACAGTATCAAATACAAACAGCAGAGCCTCAAATTTGCTTCATCTTAACTGAAATCTCTTACATCAAGATCTCAGTTACAAAATGAGAGAGACATCATCTGAAAAAAGGAAATAAATAAATACACCTACTCATGAATGGTGTTTGGCAAGAAAACAGTTGTGACAGTTTTAAAGGAATGTAAGTACCTTAAGTTCTTGGTGATCTCACTGATCTTGACAGATACAGAATACTGTGTTATTTTCACAGAAATTTTGGAATAAAAATGGATGTCAACGTACATGGTGGATGAACAATAAGCAGCCTACTGTCAATAAGGATAAGTGCAGGTGAAACTGATTTTTTTCACACTAGGTTATTCATCACATTTTAGGCACTCCGATCTGTGACGGTAACACACTTCTCAATATCAAATACACAAGGCACCAGTAAGCAATGCTTTGGTCCTTCTGTGGGACGATCAGAGTCGACTTTCTCTACTTACAGCAGTAAAAGCAAACTCTCACGTGCAGCGAAATTATTTGAAGCGTACAAGTGTCTGCCATTTCAATAAAACATGGGATGTTGCACAAAAAAAGTGGAAGTTGGGCCACACGTGGAAGTTGCCAAAGTGCAGCAATGAGCATGTGTCCTCCATATCTCTGACAGTCAAATAATCTGACCTGCATCCTCTTCAAACAGAGGGTCAGTTATGTTTAATGAGTTAACATTTACAGTACTGTGTGAACATTAAGGCTTTCTCCGACACACACCTTCATCTGTTAGCTGGGGGGCCGGGAGTCTGCACCTCACCTAAATGCCTTATGTATGAGGTGACTAGTCTATATTGCAGTGAATTTGTTTTAAATTAATTGTCTGTCTCTGAGGTGTCTCTGTGTCCCAGTTGCCTTCCAGTGGATGTAAAATCATCTCAGGGACCTGGACAAAGGTCTCTGTCTGAACCACCAACTTGCAGCAGTTCACTTCATTTCAAACAATATAGCAGCTTTCTAAAAAGGCACACGCACACAATATGTCAGCCTTTGATGGGAAGAAAACACTTTAAAGGCCTGCAAAACACCTGCACTCGTACGTATTTACACACACACAGCCATACTGTTAAATGACAATAAATAAATAAATAGATGAAGACATACTGGCTAGTCTTTAAGTCCTTTAAATGAGTGGTTGTTCCCTGAATTGAACACCATTACAGTATCTACCCTAACTAAGCATCATCAGTGAAGCGGCTGGATTAGTAGATACACGACAGAGAAGCTTCTCATTCCCATTTCATCAGAATCTCACCATGTGGTTTCTGCTGAAACTTTGCACAACAAAAGCAGCTGGGACTTTGACAATGAAAAGAGAACTGTTGACTTCCGCTGATGTTACCAGTCATTGCACGTCAAAGTGGAATGCAATAGATGTTTGCACTTTTCTTTTTTTTTTTTTTGTTACTACCACCTATCGTAAAGAAGCACAAGAAGAGCTGAAAACCTGAATATCTTGTACGCCTCCATTTTTGGTGACAGTAATTTTTGTTGTGCATTTTTCTCACACCAGCAGATTTTAAATTGAGCACTTTAGAGAAGCATGACACAGTTCGGAATCTGTGGAACGTTTCTGTGGCATCCCTTTTATCTTAATAAATAAACTTAATCAAGATTAGCTAAAGTTCGTCTTGCGCAGGTGTCTGTTGGGGATTTCTATAGCGCTCACTTGCAAAGGCCAGGAGCCACCCATGATGCCAGCCTGAATGGCCACGCCTGTCACCACAGCCAGGTCAGGATCTACTGATGTGTTGGGCTCCTTCCCAAAGTACTCGCTGATCAGCCTCCTGATCCGCGGTATCCTGGTGGACCCTCCAACCAGGACGATCTCATCCACTTCCTCTTTCTCCAGGTGGCCCTCAGCTAACACGGTCTCGACAGGAGCCAGAATCTTCTGGAAAAGGTCCTCGTTGAGCTCCTCAAACAGCTCGCGAGTGATCACAGCCTGGAAGAGAACCGGGGCAGCAGCAAAGCCTTCAGGTGACTCGGAGCTGCCGTGTGCGTGAAGGTGCAGGGGCACCTTGATGGTGACGCTGGGTTGGAGGGTGAGGTTGATCTTGGCGGCTTCCACAGCCTGTCGGAGATGATGGATGTCCTCTTTGAGGGTGGGTGGGATGCCAAACTCCTGTTGGACACGCTCTGTGGTGTACTGGAGCAACCTCTGGCTGAAGTCTTGACCTCCCAGTTTGTTATTTCCTGCAAAAACATCCACTTAATAATAGTGTTCTGTTCTCTCTCAAGCTTTGGAATAAGCTGCTTTGTGACGTTTCAGATTACAAACACTAAAATTAAATCAGGTTTTTGTCTGAACAGATATTCGACACCTGCTATTTCTCTCAGTTGAATCCACTTCAATCAGGAAGAAGAGAACACAGAATAAAAGAACAATTCTTTTTGAGTTTTTGCTGCAGAACAAAAGTTAAAGCTGCTTTTTCAGACACCAATGGTTCACATCACCTCCTGTCTCTTTTTACTGAGGCAGTGAAGCACCTACCTGCCATGGCTCTGGTAAGGAACATTCCCCCCTGTTTGTTGAGCAGAGACACGTCCAGGGTTCCTCCCCCGAGATCGACCACCAGCACGTTAAAGACGTCCACCTTGTGGAGGCCGTAGGCCATGGCTGCCGCTGTGGGTTCATTGATCACACGCAGGATCTCCAAGCCTGCAAGACAGTAACGTGAGTTAGTGTGCACATTATGTCGTTTTTAAACTTGGGTGCTTGATGTTCAGTTTTCTCAAAAGACTCACTAACGTCATCCAACATCATCATAAGATAATTAGAGAACTGACCAGCCAGGTTGGCAGCCCTGACAGTGTAGTTCCTCTGTCTCTCATCAAACTCCGCCGGCACCGAGATGACGGCTTTCTGGATGGGCACACCCAGCTGTCTCTCGGCCATCTTCCTCATCTTCAGCAGCAGCCTGGAGCCGATGAACTCTGGGCTAACCGTGAAGGTGTGGTTGGTGGAGATCAGAAACTCTGCACTTCCATTGTTGTTAATCACCTGAAGGAGGGGGCGAAGAGAGACAGCGAATCACGATGAAGAGATTTCAGTAGAAGGAAATAATGTGCAATTTATCATTTGTTTTTGTTTTTTTTAATTAGTATGAAAAGAAAAACAAGCACTAAAGAAACTACAGATCCAGGACTGATCAACTTGAAAGATTCTTTATTCCCATCAAAAATGGTTTAACCAAAGAAAAGCAGCTCCTGAAGCGAGTTACAAACGTGTGTGACCAGCCCCAGCATGACCCACCATGACCCACCTTAAACGGGTACCGGGCACTCTCCTGCTCCATGACTTCCGGCTCAAATATCTTCCCGATGAACCTCTTTGCATCGTAGATGGTGTTTTGAGGGTTGGCGTCGGCGAGATCTACGGCTTCGTGTCCGGCCAGCACCGCAGTAGTGGTAAAGGAGACTGCGCTGGGGATGCTCTTCCTCCCCTCTTCATCTGCTATCACCTCCACATCCCCGCTGCCCGGGTGGAAGACGCCAACAGAGCAAAAAGTGGTGCCCAGGTCCAGGCCGATCACTTTGGGTTTGGGGGGAGGTAAGTACTGCTGACCCAGATAGCCGGCCAGGAACAAGGCCAGGATCACCGAACCTGTGGACCGGTAACATCACGCGTATTAACAGGTGGGACAGACCAGTTAGCTCATGTGTTAGCATCCAGTCACCGGTTAATTACTGGAGAGATATAACTCACTTTTGACTTACCAATCATAGAAATTTCTCCGGACATCGTCACACACTGTTGCGAATCCCCACGCCGCTTAAAATTCACAATATGTCGGTAAAAAAAAAATGTGCAAGTTGCGGTAAAATGATGTCCAGCTTTGACAGCTGGATGATGCGAAACAGAAAGATTTCGGACTACCAGTAAAATACACGTCAACACTGCATGGCTTCTTGTGGTAACTGGGTATTGTAGTTTACGTCACACACCATCGACGCCACCAATAGCGCAGCAGATTTTAGCTTTTTACTACAATTCCCATCAATGCTAGCGGCATGCGACGAAAACAGAAGTTTCGTGACGTATCTGTGTTCTCAGCCAACCAGGTAGAGCCAAAACAGCCAAGGATAAAAAATGAAATAAAAAAAGTTCACATTAAAATCAAATGTTAAAAATAAAATATTATTAAATAAAATTAAATAAAGAAAACAGTAAATGTAATAATTAATTATATACAAAAATAGAAACTATATTTCTCATTTTATTATATTTCATGGCTATTTATGCACTAACCACTCACTCTACATCAAACACTGTAGCATTTAGTGAAATGATTCCAAATGACAACAAATCATATTTAATTGTATTTATTTAATTTTATTTACAAAAAGTTGTGAAAACAGATGAATACTGACTTTCATGCACAGGCTCTCTCTCTCTCTCTCTCTCTCTCTCTCACACACACACACACACACACACACACACACACACACACACACACACACACACATTCAGAAAATAACACGTTTTCCTGTACAGTATACATTATAGGCAAGATTTGAATATGCATTGTCCAAACCCAAACACTACTTTTCAAAAACATCCCTTCAAAAATCTCACTTCAGTTATAGGACCAAAAACAAAGATGACACTGGATGTTAAATTGAGATTGGATGTGATGAGAAAGGTTAAAATGATACAGCTTTGATAAATAAAGGCATTATATGCAATAACACTGAATGATTTAGAATGCAATAAATACAAGTGACATTAAATCAATGAAATGTCACTTCTTCAACAACATAAAAAAAACTCCAGAACTGAAAACTTACAAGTTGATCTTGATAAATTGACAAATGGATATATTGACATTTAGAACACAGGTTGTTTGTTCTTCCTATATGTATCACGCTTTTAAAAAGCTTGTGGTTGGCTTGTTGGAGTAACAGATATTAACATGACATTTTGAGAAAATTAAGTTACCCGAAACTATCAGTCACAAGAAAATACCCAACTTTGAATCCCAAATGTCAAAGTATCCATCTAATGAGGACATTACGAAGCCACGGCGTCTGTGAGCTGCTCTGCGTCTTCTTTGCTGTCTGAACATTCAGATGGGATGAAGCAGCCCGAGTCTCTGGGACAGTCGCTGTCTTCTTCCTGTAGACTGTGGGAGGATTTGTGCTCCTCCGCATCCCTGACATCATCACCTGCAATCACAGACCAAATGGAATTGAATGAAATGTCATAATATTACAAGTTTCTGTTTCCAACCACATGAGAGAAGGAAATCTGTGCAAAGTGGTTGAGTCAGTGGAAATGAACCCATATTTAGATGTGAAATGCTAATGCTCTTTGACATTTGATTTGATCTGCGGCTATTTTATTAATAGTAATGTACATTATTTTTAATAATAAGGTTGTTATTGCTAAACTTAATGTGAAAACAGCTGTGTTTTTGGCTGACTGTGAATGGCAAAATGACCCAAATAAAAACTTCTGCAGGTGTGACCTAGCAAAAAACAGCACAAAACACCTCCAATGTCCTCTTTGACTTTTATTTTCCACTCCTACAGAGTGAACATATTGAGCTGACATGCACCATTCTTTAATATTTCTACCTCACTGACGGAAGCTACTAATCCACATGTCCAGGTTGCCAAAGCACTACGCTAATGGAGTTCAGCTTGATTAAATTACTGGCCTCTCGTGTGAGTCAACTAGCTCGGCAGGGTAACGCTGCGGCCGTTGCCATCTGTTTAGTCAAACTGTCACCCAAACAAAATAACGACAATGACCTTTAATTCGCCTTTTGTGCATCTATTTAAAGTTACATTCAGTAAAACATGAATAGATTGAACAAAACCAGCCAGTTAATGTTGTTCCTTCTTCATGCTGGAAAGTTTTTTATTGATGCAGGGCTCTGCGATAATCAGCTTTCTGTTTCAAGAACTCAGATTACAGGAACAACTTCTGCCCTCTTAAGCACTTTCTTTCTGAGTAACAGGAAATCACTGATAAGCCTCTCATGGTGCAGGATGTATTTCTATTCAGTGTCACACAAATATCTCAGCTTCCACCTGATGATTATTACAATTGTTCCAAGAAAATATATTGTATGACACCAATCAAGAATCACTGTTAGTACTGTGCTGTTGTAATAAAACAAACTGTTATTAAGTAAAGGACAATATGTAGGACAGTATGCAGTGGCATGTCATGCTGCAAAATAAGATAATAGGAAGCCTGTATACACGGATCTCAGAGTTTGACAGTAGTTTACAGTGATCTTCTCATTGAACATGAACTCTTACAGACACCTTAATAGGCATTTTAGTTGTCTCTTATGATTGGTTCAAGTTGTAGTCACAGCGTTGCTAACCTTCTGTGTAGCGGCACTCAGCAGCAGCGAGAAGCCTGCGCCTGTGCTCGGGGTCTTTGACGTTCAGCTCTATCAGGTGTTTCTCCTGCAGGTGCATCAGGTCCTCCACTGTCTGGTAGCCATTTAGCAGCAAGGCAGAGGCGTACTCCTGCAAAAACAATAGCAGTGTTTTCACTACTACGAATAGACTGTTTACCTCAGTAAAAACCAAACATCAGGTTTCAGATCATATGAGTTGTAAAAGTATGGCAACATTTCAGTAGTAAGTCTGTCGAAATCGAAAAGGATTTTTTTTTTTTTTGTACATCTTTGTGGTATTTTCTGGACACTGAAAACAGTTTCACATTAGCTCACTCTCCTAGACAAGGTTAACAACATCAGTAGAGTTCTCTCTCATTAAGGAAGATGGAAAAGAGAAGTGTTTACTCTTTTAACTTCTCTCCTGTTATGATATGAACGGTCTGACTTGTGACCACACTAAAACAAGTGAGCGCTCCCCGGTGAACAGCTACCGCCCTCACCTCGAGATTCAGGCGCTCCAGTAACTCAAGCAGCGTTTTAGGTCGAGGTCTTTTGCAGAGCTTCTGCTGTCTGATCTTGGGAGCTTCCTCTTCTTCCTCTTTCTCCTCCAAAACATCTACATAGATGAATTTGAAGTTTCCCACTTTGCTGTTTAGCATGCCGGTCCAGATGCCCATCGGAGGCTTACTGATGATGCTGATGATGTCACCCACCTAGGAAAAAATGAACAGCAGGATGTGGTTGATTTGAGTTTTTGTAAAGTTCCACTCGAATATAATTATCTCCATGAAAAAGGATCATTTCTGTTGTGGTTCTTACGTGAGACTGCAGAGTCGTAGCACTGCACACAAACAGTATAGTGTGTTACCTTGAGTTTGAGAGAGTCTGTGTCATATGGGCTGGGAACAAAGTCTGTGTGGACACGAGCTCTGCCGCAGAACTGTCCCTGGTAGGAGCCGTCCTCCTCCAGCCTCACACTGTCTTTCTGACCAGAACCGTTGGACTCACTGGTCACACCACCTGAACCCACAGACACAACACAATATGATTACACAGTTATGGTGATCTAATACATAAGATAAAGTAATAAGTAAATAAAATAATAAATAATACTTACTTGAGGAGCTCTGGCCACTGTAAAGACTTTCTAAGGAGTTGCTTGTCTTTGCAGGGTTTTTCTCAGCTGGAGGGCTGCTGTCTGTCTCTGCCTCAGGGTCTTTGTCTGTCTCATCACCCTGGAGGGAAAAAAAAAGAAAAGATGTACAGTTTTAATTGCGAGGCATGTTATATAATACAGACAAACCATACAATCATCAATCAATCAGTCAGTCGTGGATGGGATGTAAACATGTGCAAACTGCTGTAGCCAGACTGAGTGAGTCTATATGAAATTAAAAGACAACAAGGAAAATAAAACAGAGCAGGTTCAGGTGGAGGTGTGGGTTGTGAAATTTACAAGCTACTCAAACATTTTATCTTATCTCTGCGTGTCACAGTAACATAAAAGAAACCTGCAAGAGGACACTTTCTGGTGTAGGTCAGAGCGAAGTGTGTCATTTAAATACTGCCAGCAACAGCGTCACAGTCGAGGATGTGGGTTTTGATGAAAGGGATAAGCCTCTTTAGAAAAACAGCACAGGTTTGCTGTAACTGAGGCTGACTGTCAGTGTGGACTTTTACCGTGTGTGACAGGTATCAAGGGGATTTTTGATCATTTGCGCACACAAATGATGGCTGTGTTTACATGAAATAGTAATCTTTACCTCTTGAATTTACCAATTTATGCATATCATTGATCAGAAGCTTTATCACTGGTGCCTGATAGCAGCCTGTTTAAATAATAAGTGGAGGCTGTTTGTGTGCGAATGTGTGAATGTGTCTATTTTCCAGTGACTCACTGTCTCTTCAGAGAAAGACTTGATGTGTTTTTTGCCCATTTTTCTGCGCATGGTCAGTGAGATTGCCTTCATCTTCTTCCCAAGTCCAGCTGATTTGTTTGTGTCTGAACTTTCACATTCTTCGGTGAGCTGTGTGCAGAAAGTTGGTTTAGTTAGTTGTGAAATACCATAGTAAAATCTGTATATGTAAATATATCAAAAATATCTATGATGAAATTTTACACAGTATAACATGTTGCAAGCATATTTATATAGTGTATATATTCATACTTTGGGATGGATATATACTGTCTACAATATTACCGTACATGCAGAGACATATTTGTATGGGCTGGACACACATGTCAATATATTGTTCCAGTTTCTAATAGGTTTTATATATACATTGTTACATATATGTTCTTGGTTTATATGCACATATATTTCATATATGGAAATTTAATATATGTATATGTATTACATTTGCATATGGGAATAAATTTAGACCATAGCTCCTCATATTTCTCCCATCTCCTCTGTTTTTGTACTTCTGCTCCAAAAACATATGGTAAAATGCACCATTTCCTGTGCCATGAAGGGTTTTTCCCAGGATGAACCATGTCTTATTTTTATAAAACACTTTGCACTAGGATACAGCTGCAAATATTTGTATATCTGCTTATATTCAGCTATTTCAACGCTAATGTCTCTAAACAAAGACTTTGCAGTATCATTTGTGATGTTGTTGACCTCCTGGTACTATTTTACTGATGTATCATTACTTCTTGTCATTATGACAATATAAAATAAACATATCTACAAACCATATTTGTTCCATTTTCCTCTGGTTTGGCCAGTGACGAGTGATGTCTGAGACCCTCAAACCTGCCGAAGCTGGTGGAGCGCTGTGGGGGACATTAAAAAACAAAGACAAAGGATGTCATAAAGACAACTGGCATGGTTTGTGTAGCAAAATTTACCAGAATTACATCATGTCAAGTCGTTGTACTTGTCATTGTACTTGAGTCCTTGTCTCAGCTGTCAAGACTCACAATTGTAGTGCATTTAGCTGTCCATATACTTTATATAGTCTGTCTATTAATGAAAGCCATGGCTAGCCTTGTTTCTAAACGTACACTGAAAGCACCCACAGTGTACGTGTATGTATATGTGTGCGTGTGTACATGTATGTACGTATGTATGTATGTATGTATGTGTATATATATATATATATATATATATATATATATACACATATATATATATACACATATATAGCAAATAGTCTCTTCAGAGTGTTCCAGAATGAGAGCAAGTAAAGGTCAGGTTTTGATTCACAAAGCAGTTTAGTGAGAGGGCAGTGAATAAGTCTCTACATACAAGTGAACTGACAAACTTGTCAGTATGAAAAATATATAAATAAATACATAGATAAAACAACAGTGTCCTCACAAAACTGGTGACATGTACTCATAGTTGCTTCACTCTGGCTTGGTTTTAATTGTTTCTCTTTTTTTTCCCTTCTATTTTTCATAAAACTAAAAGTCATTATAATCTCTCCCAAACCCCCATCATCTCCACAGCAGAGCACAAAAAATAATTATATAAATGAATAATCCCTGGAAATCCTGGTTAAACATGAACTCCTAGACAGACCTCTGTGGACTGATTTAATGCAGCGTCGACTGCTTTGACTGACAGGCCCACATTTTACTCCAGTCTCCACAGATGCAGCAGCAGCAGCAGAATTGGAGAGTTTTGTTTTAAAGCCATTCTTTGTCCTAATTTTATTTATTGAACTGTTTAAATTTTATCGTCCTTCTGTTTTTTAGGATAGGACAATGAATTTGGAAAATACATTTTAGTGCATATATTTTTGGAAAAAAACATTACCTTTAAGTATTCTTTGAGTGGCCTATCAGGATTTATATAGTATGATTTATCCTTGCACCCTAAATGTATATTGTATATTTTATACAGTAACTTCAGCTACACCTAGTACAAATCTGCATTTTTAGTCAGAACAATGATCCGTCTCTCTCATTTTTTTTTTAAGACATTCATCATTATTGAAGAAATTATGTAAAAGGTTACATTTGAACATCTCTGCTTCCAACAAAATGTCATATAATCAGATTCCTGTGTAGATTTTCTCCTACCTTTGGTTTGTTGCTCTTCGCTTTGTCTGACACGTTGGATGCTGCCCTCTGTAACATTTTTCTGCTGTTTTAATCGGTTTTTGTCAAATCTCAGTTCTTGTTCTTCTCTTTTCTTTACCCGTCTCTCCTGCTGGCAGTGAAATGTTAACTAACTGCAAGAGGCTTGCCTGTCTGATGGGCTGACTAGCCCACTTCCTCACAACACACAGGATGTGAGGCAATCGACATTGTGTGTCTCGCTCCAGTATCGCTTTTGAAAGGAAAAAATACAAATGCTTAAGTGTGCATTTTGTGGCCTGCTCAAAGAAAACATCACGAACCACTTCCAGGAAAGGTTGTGTTTAGGTTTTATATGTGTGGTATTTGTTTTCATAATATATTATATGACTTATGACATACATTATCTTGGGGAGGATGAGCTTGTGTCTTATTTATCTTACATTTTGTGGTTGGTTAAGCTCAGAGTTGGGTTAATGTCACAGAGTATAACTCAATCATATAAGCACTGGAGTGTAATGTATCAGGGTAAGGGCTTCATCCACATCCATTAAGTGACAATAATATTGATAAAACAGGAAGTCAGTATTTAAAAATAATAATATAAATATTAGATTCTATTTAAATCAATTCAAAGCTCAGTATACCTCAAGAGTTTCCTTTAATAGCAATAAGGAACTTGGTAAATGTAAATGATGCTGGAGTAATTATTCCTATGCATTAATTACTTCATGTGGGGAGAGAGCTTTTGAGGAAGTGCTGATGTATGAGAGGAACAGTCAAAAAAGGCAACTTTATTGTGTTGAAACACTTTCCGGTTTATCTCTTTTCTCGACATGGGAGTGAATATAGTTCATTTGATGTCTTAGAAACACTACAATGTAAAACACGATAGATTTTTCTTGTTAATGAAAGTTGAAAGTCATAAAACTGTCACCTTCTTAAAAAACATGGCCTCCACAGTGAGTCTGAAAGTGTGATTCAGTTTGACTCTCCACAGGATCCTACACTGCTGCCAGACGTGGCTCTGATGATGTTGCCATGGGGGGATTTGCCACTGTGTTTACATTGTGGGGCATTTGAATCAGTCACTTGTAAAAAAAAGGGAATTCTACAGACAAAACCATTGCCTAATCCCACTGCTTGCAATCAGCGTAAACTCCTGTCAATCCAGATTAAGGCTTCTAATCTATTACTTCAGAGGCTCCTGACTCCCCGGAGAGGCAGTTGTTCATCTGAAGAGCTGAAAATGAGATATCTGCCATTTGAAAAAGTCTCCTGATCTCTGTTGAAATACATTTTATACAGTTACTGGTCAAGGTTTTGTAAGGAAATATTCACAGTTATAAGGAAAAAAATCATGAAAGTGAGCTGTTTTCTAAGATATAACACAATAAGTAATGTATATTTGTATTATAGCGTAACTGTTTGTAACTGTATGAGAAAGATCTGATACATTTGACAATATAGTGCCAACTAGACTGTCTTAGCTTAGACCAGCTTTGTTGAATGTTTTCTTTCCTTTCATGTCCTTGTGGGAAAGTTTCCACATCATTATGATGTTTGAAGAGAAAGGTTCTTAACCTCCACACCATCTCTGGCTACACTGTTAAGAGGCTTCATGTCAAATGAAATTACATTTTGCCTCTAAGAACCAATGACACTATAGATCCATAGGCATCTTGTAATCTCCATGCCGGATCATCCTTTTCATCTCAGACAATTTTCTCCCAAGTCATGTTAAGCTTTAACAACTGCGTTGTGTCACACTGGGTGCAAGCTACATGTGCTCACTGGGCATCAGTCAGTCTTATGCTTTGACAGATATCAAGTGCATGCAAAGGCACTGACCTCCAAGGTCAATCTGCATTAATGTGTGGTATTAGTACTGAGTGACCATTGAACCTGCTGCACTGAAACACAATTGACAGAAATGATTGCAGTGGGAGAAACACAGCTTAATTTGAAAATTCATTTAAACTGGATTTTTCACATTATTTGATGGACCTGCCAAAGGGTTTGTGAGGTTAAATAATGGTATCACAACTATTCAACACATACGATTACATGCCCATACATACGTTGAAAGACTTTTTGTTTGCTGTAATTGTTCCCCCTGTCCGTACAAGGACAAAATCCTCAGTCCCCAAGCATCCATCTCAAAGTTGAACCAAAGCTAGTTGTAGACATTTCAGACTTAGGTTGCTAACATTAGCTTCAGTTCAACTTTGAATGCATTTTTGTAGGGAGGACCGTGGGTTTTATCCCCCAACAACAACACTGAAATCATGTTAAGAATAGAATGCATGCAAAAAGTGTTTCAATGTACATATGAGCTGGTGAGCACTTTTTAAGAGAGACTTGAGAAATGTGAATCTATCCTTTAATATTGTGACATCTTTAAGAGACTGATTCTTGCATACTATCGCAGCATGTGGGTGTTGCGGTTACTTTAAGCACGGCACTTAGAGCTGCATAGTGGCCAGTAGTGTGACACTGCATGTACATTTACACCTCAGAAGTGCATGTGACTTAGCATCTCTGAGGCGTATATTTGCACAATGCAAATAAGAGAGACGTTTAAAAGCAAAGTTTGACCTACATACTATATAATAATATAAACTCACATTTGGTTCTGACAGATCCACATCAGTGATGGACCGTGGCACCTTCGGAGGAATCTGGGGTTTACAGTCCCGCTTCAAGCCGTCATCCTGGGCCTGCTGCTGTCTTCCCTCCCACTCCTTCCCATTAGGTGCGGGGAAGTCGTGGGAGTACACGCGATACTCTGTGAGCGGCCTGCGACAGGTGTGCTGGATAGTTCCCCAGGCAGGACTGCTCTCACCCGGGTTGCTCCAGCGCTGGTGGTGGGTGTGGGTGGGAGTCGCACCACCAGGTAGACTGGCCATTTCCATGTAGCGGCCAGGGGTTGTGTTCTCCTGAGCAGGCAGGGTGGACGACTTGCCAAGGTAGGGCCTCCTGTCTGATCTGTATGGCACGTCTAGGTACTGGGGTCCCATGGGTGGGCCCATAGCACTGGGTGGGGAGGGCACTGACAGAGATGACAGGATGGAAGAAATTCAATGAAAAGTAGGACTGGAGAAGTGTCAGGGATGTTAACCCTGGTTTCTTCATTTAAACTGGAAGCAGGCCTGTGCATTATGTTGACTTGTTACTGCAGTGTAAGGAGTGATTCATGCTTTTGCAAAGGCTCTCCCCACCGAGTGGCATAACACCACCACAGAACTACTTGGCAGGTTCATGCATTCATGCAAAGTAAAACAGATTAGTCTCTTTGAACATTTACTTCACAAAAAATCAGTAGCAAAGAGGAGCACTGAGAGGTTTTTCAGTTTTTGAAGCAGCAATGGAAAGTGAGAAGCAGGAAATATGAAGATGACCAAGCAGACCAATCAGAGTTTTGCAGTGTGTCCTTTGCAACTGCTATGTGTAGTTTGAGCGGATGCTTGTTTGATGTAAAGCAGCCCCATGTGTACATTTATTGCAGGGACACCACAGGCGCCTACACTGAAGCTGTTGCAACACTTAAATGCAGAAGTGTAATACAGAATCTATCGAAGCATAAAAAGAGTGACAAACTAGAATTGCCACATTTGACAAATGCTGCATGGGCCTGTTCTGCTACTGTAAGCACAAGTTTAGTTTAGTCATAGCTTAGTCATAGTCATATAAATGCTAGAAAGGTCAGAAAGGACAATTTAATCTACGGAGTGGGGAGACAGGGTCTTACCTAATGAGCTGTGACTTTTCCTTGACCCCTCTCTCCCGCTCTTTCCGCCTGGTTTCTTTCCCGTCTTTTGGCTCCTTTTGACGGCAGGTTTAGACTCTGTTGCCACTCCGCTGACATGGACACTCTGGCAAGATGCAACACACATCCCATAAAAATACTTTAATTCCTAAATCAGTAAAATGATGGGAATTAAAACAATGACAGACCTTTTATGACATGTTAATGAAAGACAAAGAGTCTTATCTAATCACTCTCACATAACACAACCCAGTTTTTAGCCATGCTGGCTGTCAGTCAGTCGTTACACCACTGTGGTCAAGACTGAAATATCTCAGCAACTACTGGATGGATTTAAGTCTAATTTGTTACAGACTTTCCTGTTCCGCTCAGGATGAATTGTATATTTGGGGATCTCCTCACTTTCCATCTTGCACCATCATCAGGTCAAAACCTTTTTCTAGTCCAGCACTTTGGTTGGAGAACTTTTTTGCTGGGTATTTATTTAAAAGAAATGGTAGACACAGTATCTTCTACCAACGCCCTTTAGGATCACTGGTCTTTGTAGCTCCACTGCCATGTTGTGAGGCGCTGAAACTTGCTGCTGATCCAGCATTGGCAAACTCTGCTTTGTTTGCTTCTCACTATGATGGGCATTAGTCAGAATGGGCACTGGGTGACCTGGCATGAGGCCTCTAAACCCTCACCACCCCAAACACACACACAAACACCACAGGCACACATGCATATACACAGTCGTTCCTCCTCTTGTTTTCACATCTCTCTCTGCCATGTGGCCCAGAGATTACTCACAGGGCAGCACCCACTCTTTGGGCCATCTGCACTGTATTAAAACCCAATCAGCATTTACGTTAACCAATTGTGCCATTCAGGCCACCAGAGGCTCTCTGGATGTCACAAGCAGGTGGAAGCTTGAAACCCCTAAAATGTTCTGGTGTGCCATGTGTCCACGAGTCTCACACTTGCGTTGCAGCAACAGGTCCTTGTCAATGCAGACGCATCAGTCTAAAATAGACAATTCTTTTATTTTATTTAGTGCTACATTGATAACGATGGTGCAGGGTGCTCTGTCACATTCATTGTGAAAGGGAGAGATGACCCAGGTTCATGCTCTACCACTCTGTTTTTACGGTTGCTGATTGGTTGGTCTGGATTTGGCTTCCATCCCTCACAGCTACTGACCTATAAACCAAACGTAACAAGCTGTTCCACTGGGCTCCTGAATATATTTTTATGTTACCCACAAATAGAAGTGTAAAAATAATTTAAACGCATTTTACATTGCAATGCT